CAGGGTAATAATTCATTGCTATCCATCTTCCTAACAAAGAAGTTCTCATGAGAAAGGGTCACTATGCACTTCACTATCATACCATCCAGCCCTCGCCAGTCTCGCAGGCCACGCTACCTCCATTTACAAACTAAAACAGACACATAAAGGCTCCTGCCCCAAACATTGGACTTGAGTTGGAGCCCCTAAACATACAAGGGAGAAGAAGAGAACCAACTGCAAGCTGTCCTCTAATCTCCACAGGCATGCTATGACATGTTCTTGCATATGTGTGTGCGCACTTAAAGGGAAAAAAAAACTTTTTAAACTTCCCTCATTCTGTAAGTAATGAATTAAAATCAATTCCTAGTCTTCAGGAGTCGAAAAGGAGTCCCGAAGTGTCCCTCACCGGACAGAACCCCTTTTCCTTTTTTGCCCACTTCTAGGAAACAGCTCATAAAACTGCAAGGCGGCCATTCCTACTGACGCACCATTCCAAACCCTTCTCTCTGTCTCAACTGCACTTCAAGTCTGTGTGGGTCTGTCATCTCAGAAGTGTATCTGTCCAAAAGAACAACAGGTAACTAACTCACAGGCATATGCGGACACACTCAGACATTCTGTAGCAAATGTTTCTCCTTCAGATTTAAATATGTCCTAGTACTCAATAGGCACAGGGACACTCAACTACTTTCAGGCCATATCCCATGCTGGCACAGAGACCAGCAGCTAAGCACCCACTTCAGCCGGTGAAAGTACTCCAGCAGACGTTATAAATAGTGGGATGGTGCTAAAGTGGCAGTAACTCCCCAGCTTCCTCGGTTCCTTATTCCCAGGTATTTGTGAGTAGGGTTTAGAGATAAGCAGCTTCCACCTATGGAAAGCAGGAGTTCTAATTGTGACAGCCTGGCAATAACTGCTTTTCAAAGGATATTTGTGCTATTTTTGGAAACATTTCTGTTGGCCCATGATTTTGTGGTTAAAACCATCTCTATTGAAAACATAGACACCAGCCGGGCGGTGGTGGCGGCGCACGCCTTTAATCCCAGCACTTGGGAGGCAGAGGCAGGTGGATTTCTGAGTTCGAGGCCAGCCTGGTCTACAGAGTGAGTTCTAGGACAGCCAGGACTATACACAGAAACCCTGTCTCAAAACAAACCAAAAAAAAAAAAAAGGAAAGAAAACATGGACACCAAAACTCCAGGGGCAGACAGAGGAGGATTTTGAGTTCAATACTGGGCTACCTTGCAAGATCCTATCCCAAAAAGTAAAAACAACAAAAAGTCTAGTCTGGAAAGTCATTAACTAACTATACAGGTTTATAAAAAATTGAAACATTGGAAAGCTCTCCCAATCTGCCTAAAAATGTTCCAAAGAATCTGAAAGAACTGAGTTTAAATGTGGTTTCACAACTGGACATAAAAGGCACACCACCTTCCGATTAGTTAACAAAATAACTGATTACATTAGTGGCCAATTCCAACCAATTCCTCTGTATAACAGAGTTAGGGACTGAGACGATGGCCTGAAAAGACAGCTCAGCTGTTAAGAGGCCTTGCTATTCTTGCAATGGATTTGAGTTCAATTCCCAACAACCCATAACAGGCAGCTCAACACCTACCTATAACTCCAGCTCCAGGGCATCTGATGTCTTCTTCCAGCTTCCATAAATACCCACACACATTCACACATGTTCATGCTCTCTCTTTCTCTCTCTCTTACACACACACACAGAGAGAGAGAGAAAGAGAGAGAGAGAGAGAGAGAGAGAGAGAGAAACGTAGTCATAATTTTGTAACTGTGATTTCTTTAAAACACACACACACAAGTATTATAAGAATTTGTTTTCCTTTTAATCCCGGGTGAAGGATATGGGCTGCTTCAGACTGTCCACAGCAGCTGACTGTGACCTGCCTCGTTCTCTAGCAGGGGTGTGATTTTTGCCAGCTGCAGACAGTTTCTGCAACAGTGTGACGTTTGGAATGCTGGGGACTTTGCAGAAAGTATATAAATGCTAGGTCCCTGAGAGGTGGGAGGGTTGTTGTTGGTTGGTTGGTCTGGGTTAAGTAGTTATGAGCAAAGAAAAAGAAATTAGATATAACCTGACAATGAAGATCAAACTTGTCCCAAGGAACTCAACGCCCCTAATCAGCAGGAAGTAGTCTCACAATAATGTCATCCCCTTTCTGACTCCTGACTGTTTTCAGGGAACTCTTTCCTTTCCTCTCTTTCCTTTTTTCTCTCTTATCTAGTGTTCGGGGGCTGAAAGGGTAGAGAAAGAACTCACAAAGTAACAAAAATCAAGCTACAGAAAAATAATTTTTTAAATAATTAAAATGTTAGAAATGTCATTCACTTAAGTCCCCTTTAGCATGGATGAATCTCTATAAGTGTCTTTTTTTTTTCCTTTCAGTCCTGAAAGTCATTAAAATCAAGTATCCAAAGTAACTGAGTTGGGAAGCTGAACTGTGTACAGTCGCATTCATTTTTCCCACTCTGACTTACCCGCGTCATCAATAAGCACAGTAAAGTAAATCACCATGCTTTTGGAAGCTTTGGTATCACTTTGGCTGACAGTGCTCTTAAGGAAAAGAAAACAATCTTCCAGTTAAGCCTATCCACAAATTATGTTACCAGGGGCCTTGTAGTCAAGTCATGAACCTCAGATAGCCTATTTCTGATTTCCTGTAAGGATGAATTAAAAACTACACAAATGAAAAGGCCTGGAATAACACCTAATCAAACCGATGCTCTAAGTCCCTGAGTGCTTTTTCAAGTATGCCCTTACATATACTATGCTCCCTAAGAAAGCAAGCCTGGGCTTGGGGTCGGATCTGAATTCTTGTTGTAGTACTTCTAACTGTGACACAGCCATTTATAAAACAGAAATAATAGCGGCCAGCTACTAGCTTCGGTGTCTCTTGAAAGACCACTGCAGTGCACACCAAGTCACTCCTATAAGGCATCCATAAACATCCCACCCTCAAGACTCCCTAGTCAGGTTCCAGCAGTGAAGAGAGACCAGAGAAATCTACCCTGAGGGTGTCAGATCCCCTTGACCTCTTCAGCCCCCTTCTAGGCTCTGAATAAGGCAGTTTGGTCACAGAAAAGAAAAACGAAGTCCATTCAAACTGTACTAGAAAGGCTAAGGCAAGAGCTTTGTCCTGAGTTCCGGATACCCTGGGCTACACAGCAAGTACCTGGGCAGCTAGGACTACATAATATACCTGCCTCCAAAAAAAATCCCGTTTGCTGATAAGAAAGAATAGCAGCCATAGAGTAGCCTGATACAGTACTTGGCATGCATGGACTGTACTGTCCTTTCATGATTACTGAACTTGGGTTAATTACTATACCACCTGTCTTCAGGGGACTGATTGTGAAAGCCAAGACATTTTGGTGTAGGACACAAACTAGAGCTGTTTAAACTATCTTGCCTATGCTCTCTGGTTTAAGCCACCTAGTTTTGATACAATTACCTTGTGTCATACCCCTTAATACAAGTTGCCAAGGAGTTTCCATAATTTAAGCTTTTTGGAAAAGAGAAGACAGGACAAACCCAAGGCCTTTAAGTAAAATACTAGGCATTTTAACCCACCGATGCACATACACCTATACGTGGTGAACTGAATTAATCTACACGAAGCTCAGGTCAGGCAACTCACTGCCTCTAGCAGGAAAAGGTTCTTAAAAAAAAAAAAAGGCTGACGCTTTGGGTGTCTGAGCTTTTGCAACATTTGCATTTACGACCTATCACGGGAAGCAAAAAAGCAAATCTAAACAGCACTCCTGGGGCCATTCACAACTTCAAACAAGCAAAGCAGGCAAACTGGCAAAAGAGGCCTTTGCCTAACTTTCTTTCAGTGAGTGATGACAATCAAACGCAGTATAGCAGCATCCAGACCAAAATAAATAACTGGGGATTTCTGTCACCTCCTCTTCATCTTTAATTTTTTCCTAACGTCACCCAACGAGATAGGGTTTGTTGGCCTCAGAACACTGCAGACACTCACAGCCCAATAGGCGGGGTGGTCACGACCTTTCCTGGGCCTGCCTCACAGACCCCCCCCAACTAATGACTCGATTGTTCCGCGAGGTGTGTGCCTCCTTTACGTCGTTTAAGTCGGAGCACGTGATCCGGGAGCGCAAACTTGCTACACTTTACACACTTCCCTGAGCCTGGCCATACTTGGACCTACACAGTTCCCAAGGAGGAACTGAACGTCACCGATGCAGGATGACAATCACTCAGGTCTTGCCCTAGGGAGAGTAAGTTCCAACCCCTGCTTGCTGACGGCAGCTTACCCATTTGTCCAAGGGGACCTGGGCAAGAGACCCGGTGCCCTGGTACAGGTCCAGGCTCAGCTGCTCCAGGCTCAGTTTCTCCTGCAGGAAGTGGCCCAGGTACCTCTGCAGGAGGTACCGACAGGCCCTCTTCTTGATAGATTCTGAAAATGGCCAAGGCATGGTGAGTGCTGGCGGCTGGGGGGTGCCGGGGCTGCACGCGGAGGCGACTCGGGGATCCGACCTGGGCTCCAGGCAGCGGCAGCACCTCAGGGTCCGGCCGGCGTCCCCAAGCCGCGGTGGGGGTCTAGGTTCGCGGTGGCCGCTGCATGTCGGTTCGGCGCCGCTGTCCCTCAGGGCAACCCCATGGCCCGCGTCACGACGCTCGCACTAGGCCCGGCGGGGACTGGGCGCCGAGCAGAACTGGGCGCCCCAAGTCGGGAGCTCCCGAAGCGCTCCGTCGGTTCGGAGACAGTACGTACGAGAGCCTGAGGGCTGGCGGCTGAGGCTAGACAGACTCCGACACTGCGCGACAAATTTGTAGTCATCTACTGGGCGCGCTCCCGCCTCCGAGACGCTCCTGGCGCGTTCGCGAGACCTAGACTCCCGGCGCGCACTCGAGCAACTGGCACAAGCGGAAGTGACGCCATATTGCGGGACTGGAAAGTCAGGGGGGGGGAAAAAAAGAGTCCGGGCGGGAACATTTCCGGTAATGAATGGGCGGGGCAACTGTGGGGGCGGGAGTGGTGCCGGCGCCGCAAGTCTGGCTCCAGACGCCTCAGGACGAGGAAGAAGAGGAATATGGGAGCTCGCAGGTGAGTGGGCGGGCAGGCTGCGGCCCGTGGATCCTTACCTCGCAGTCGCGGCCGAGTGGTGGGTGCTAGCGGACACCCGGATTCGGGCTGACCGGGGTCTGGGGGCGGGTCCGGCCTGTGCTGTCCTGCGGGAAGTGGTGCGCCGGGGGGGGATGCAGGGCGAGGACTGGAGACTTGACATTTCTGTCCGGGTTTTGACGGGTGCCTATTGTCATCAGGTTGTTCCCCCCCGCTTTGTTTGCAAAGCGTCTAGTAGTTTGTCGTTTGCAGAGCGCCACGCCGACGACCAGGAAACTTGGGATTCGGGGCGATTGCGGGCAATACTGTTTTCTCTGTTAAATTCTGGCGCTTCCCGACCCGCTGAGGGGCTACCTCAGCGAAGACTTTGTGATCTCCGGAGGCTCTGCGCAGCAGGATCTTTATCTTTTAGAAAACAGTCTTTGAAGAGGCGCGACTGGCTCCTTAGTAAGGCAGCCCCTAATGGCCCGGAAGTCTGATGGCCCTGAATTACATTCCTGACACTTGACACTGGGCCACCTTGATCCTACGCTACCCTCTCTGAGCCCACATTGCCACCTCAGCCAGGTGTGAGCAGATTAATATCATAAACTCGAAAATTGAGCCAAATGAAATGATTGTGGGCCGGGAAAGAACCTAAACGGGATCCTGGATTGAGGAGATTGAGTTAAGGAATTCTGGCTTGTGAATGCTGCTGCATCCCCCGAATGGGTTCTTTTGGTTTAGTTTGGTTGGTTGTTGAGACACTGTCTCACTGGGTAGGTAGTTCAGGCTGACTGTGAACTTACGTGGCCCGGCCTGGCCTAGAAATTAAGGTCTCCCAAATGCTGAAATATCAGACTTGCACCACCACACCCCACTCAGACTCGTTTTAAACCTGCATTGTAAGAAAGGACCGTTTTCTAAAAGATGATATTTTAATTGGGGACTTGGAACCATCGGGGTAGTAAGATACTTGGACGTCTGAGTTATTTTTCAGACAAGAACACCACCCGCAAGGCTTATCTGATACATAGGTCCCTGTGTATCAGGCTTTTGGAGTTTTGAACTGGACTTTAGGCTTTGTTCACATGAGTAGTGCTTGGTAAGTTCGAGAAACTTGAGGAGGGAAGACAGGAAGGAGCCAGAGCTCCTTCCTGTAAATGGAAGGAGTGAAAGCCACTGCAAGGAATCGAACTTGTGCTCCGGGTGAAATAAAGACAAATACAACATAATCTGGCTGGTTTGCTAACTACAGTGTTGCTAATAGCTGGATGTTGGGGATGACTGAGTGATGACCGAAGGTGGAAACAGCCAGAGCAGTACTGAAGGACACAGTGCAGTAACCCAGATTCCACAGTCTGGCCCAGGGGATAGTCCTGAAGATTAGAACCATTTGGATCCTAAGCATATTTTGACACTAGTAAGACATGCTTACCCGACATTATGGCACACAGTTTTAATCCCAGCACTAGAGAAACAGATGCAGATGGCTCTCTCCTTAAGTTGAAGGCCAGCCTGGTCTACACGGGGAGACCCTGGCTCAAAGAGACTCTGAGTCATACAAGTAAATAATGACTATTCTCTGTAACATAAACAAAGATGGGTGGGAAGTCCAGGTAGGTCCTTGTGTATCAGGCTTTTGGAGTTTTGAACTGGACTTTAGACTTTGTTCAGTGACTGCTTAATATGGTTTCCTGAACACAATATAAAATAACATCCAAGCTGACCATAGGATGCCTGCATTTCCAAATACCAAAGGGAGAAAGTGAAAACCCCACAATAACAAGCACACTACACCAAAAGTGTTAAGGGTGTTGCCTTGAGCGCTTATGCTTTCTAGGAGAAATTTAGCGTAGTTAAGGTTTGAGAGCTGTCATCACACCTTTAGCTTAGTGGGATTCAGACTCCAAGTCACAGGGCTGTTTTAATGTTTCTCAAAGGCAAGTTCCCAATGCAGAGTGCTGGCACCGTAGCATTAACTGAATAAGATGAGATAATTACCCAACCGAGAACGGTCAACTTTGTAAAGGGATTCCTAGTGGCAGCTTAGAAGGTATATCCCAGCCGGGCAGTGGTGGCGCACGCCTTTAATCCCAGCACTTGGGAGGCAGAGGCAGGTGGATTTCTGAGTTCAAGGCCAGCCTGGTCTACAGAGTGAGTTCCAGGACAGCCAGGGCTACACAGAGAAACCCTGTCTCGAAAAACCAAAAAAAAAAAAAGGAAGGTATATCCCAGAAACCAAATGCATTGAGTCAAAATAATAATCCTAAACAGGAATTCCCACGGTTCACTGTGATAGTGTTGATTACATTGAAGACTTACCTGGGAGAGCCCAGGGGAGCATACCTGTAATCCCAGCACACTGGGAAGTCAAAGCACAAGGATCAAGAGCTCAAGGTCACCCCTGGTTACAGATCAGGTTTGGAGCCTTGCCAGGTCGATGTGACCCTGTCTCAACAGCAAAAGATCACATACCAGTGACATGGCTCAGCAGGCAAAGTCACATGCTGCCTTGCCTGATAACCTGAGTTCAGTTTCCCAGGGCCCACATGTAAGAGAGCCAAGTTCCCCCAATAGTCCTCTGACCTCTACATGAACACCGTGGCATGTGCACACACAAACATACAAACACACACCTTATATATACAGAAATATATAGATGTAAAACATATTATTTAAAAAAGGGCTGTACATTCAGAACAGGACCACAGTGTCAAGGCTGCCATGCCCCAGCCGCAGCCATCACCATGTATATGCACCTCTTTAGGATCTGGAACTGCCTTTCTCTTTGAAGGGATTTTCAAGCATGATGGTCCCAGCTTTCGGTAGGCAGAGGCAGGAGGATGACTCATTCGAGGAAGGCTACCCTCAGCTACATAATGAAGCTTAATAAACAAGGTCAGGGGGACCAAAGATCTGTCTCAGTGCTTAAGAGCACTTGCTGATCTCCGAAGAACCCAGATTCATCCCCACATCTGTGTCAGAAGGCTGTAATTCTTGCTCCAGGGGATATGGCCTCCGGATTCAGAGGGTACCAGTACTTACATACACATACACACAAACACATATGCACCTACAAATAATTTAAAGTAATAAAAATAAACTTTGAAAACCAATAAGGCCCAATGTGGTGGTCCACACCTTTCTTCACAGCACCCTATAGGCAGAGACTGGCTTGTCCTATATAGTGAGTACCAGGCCAGTCAGAGCTACATAATGAGATCAAACAAAACCTGAATATGGGGCTAGAGAGATAGATAGCTCAGCAGTTAAGAACCACTGGCTGCTCTTCTAGAGGACCCAAGACTGATACCCAGCACTCATACGGCAGCTCACGAGAGTCTTTAACTCCAGTCTCTGGGAACATCCTCTTCTGGCCTCCTGAAGAGCATATGTAATGCACAGACATACATGCAAGCAAGGGACCCATATACGTTAAGTTTTTTTTTTTTTTTTAGTTTTTAAAAAACAAATGTGTAGAGAGTGTGTGTATTGCTGTACATCAAGCCTGGAACCTCATACATAACATGCATTGTACTGGTGAGCTAAGTGCCCATCCCCAGGAGGGTTTTTTGTTTTGTTTTGATACGCAGTCTCCTTGTCACTAAGGTTGATCTACTACTTGCGGATGGGGCTCTGACTCACCATCTTTGTACCTTGTGGCCCTGAGAGCTGGGTTTATAAGCAGGTGCCACTGCACCTGGCCCCAACATAATTCCTGAACTTGCCAAACTGTTCCCTCTTTGTTGTTGTTGTTGTTGTTGTTGTTTTGGTTTTTCAAGACAGGGTTTCTCTGTGTAGCCTTGGCTGTCTTGGAACTCACTCTGTAGACAAGGCTGGCCTCGAACTCAGAAATCCGCCTGCCTCTGCCTCCCAAGTGCTGGGATTAAAGGCGTGCGCCACCACTGCCCGGCATGTCTGTTCCTTCTTTAGGCCTGTCAGCACTGTTTAATGGGAGATTTCAATGACAGCTTCACCTGAGAGGGAAGAAATGGGGAGCATCTTGTCTGGGTCCTGGAGCACCTAACAGAGGTTCCTGCCCTGCCCGGGCTGTGTGAGAGCCCACTGAGGACCCCACACTGCCACTGGTGCATGTTGGGAGCATTTTTTCCAGATTGCTATGTAAGATGAGATTGAGGTACACCATCCCTGTTGCTACTTGACAGTTGTGGTGTCACCTGAAAAGCCACACTTGCTTTAAAAGGAGTATTTGGGATTCCTGCCCTGTCAGACACTTTCTTGTCAGAGATATGTGTCTGTCACTTCATCTCTTCATGCAACAAAACAAAGCCTAGTAAAAAAAAGAAGTGGAGAAGAAAAGATCCAGCCATCACCATCTTGATGATATCATGAATCCTCAAAATCACCAACAGATGGGGAAAGCAGAGCCTGAATCACTTCTGTGGGTGGAATCACTTCTGTGGGTGTTCTGAAGGTTCCTTTCTGTACACTTCATAAAAACAAATGCCTGAGGATAACACATGTGTTTGTGGAGTTCTAGTCTTTGAAGGTTCTAGAAACAGAAGACTGCTCAGAGCAACAATGGAAGGCTTAAAGGGAAGTGGTGATATTTCCCTAAAATTATTATGTGCAGTGGGTATTTTACCTGCATGATGAATGTGCACTGTGTGCCTGTTGTCATGTGGGTGCTGAGACTCGAACCTAGATCTTCTGGAAGAGCAAATCTTAGAATCTTGTTTACAGGCTCTGGTTTTGAAGGTTGCAGTGTCACTACATATAGTTTTGAAAACATCTCAGGTTAGTACCCTGCATATCTTCACCCTAACTTCTCCTTGGTCAGCAGAATGCAGTGCAAAACAGGCAAGGTACCTGCCTTGACCTGCTTTGCAGCACTGTGGTGTGTCTGTGCGTGTCTCCCCTTCATTGTTGAAGTTGGAGTGCAGAATTACTTTACAGGATAGAGATTAAAAATAGACATTTCACAAGTGACTGACTGACCTAAAATCTTTAACTTCAAAAGTGTATATGTGAGACCGCAG